GATGGGCACCCTGGATAGATATCTTCTTTCATGATATCAGGGAAGTTTTCTGTCAACAAATCTTCAACAATTCTCTCTGTATTTTCTGTTATCTTCCCCCGGCCATTCTACTACTCCAATCACTCGTAGGTTATTTCTCGATAAGAGTCCCACATAACTCTTAAAGAGTTTTTTCATACTTTTATCTGATTTTTCATTAAATAAGTTGGTGTCAAGTGTTTTATCTTCAATGTCACTAATTCTGACTTCTACTGCCTCAATTCTGCTCCTATGACTTTCTATTGAGTTGTCTAATTCTGAGATTTTATTGTTAATCTTCTGGATTTCCGATTGCTGTCTCTCTATGGATTCTTGCAGCCTATTAAATTTGTCATTATGCTCTTGAATAACTTTTTTAAGTTTCGCTACTGCTTTGTCTGTATGTTCTTTGGATTTCTCTGAATTTTGTAGGATTTTCTTCCTAATTTCTTGAAGAGTTCTGTATATTAATCTTTTGTATTCTACTTCTGGTAATTCCAAGAAATTCTCTTCCTCCAGAAAATTTATTGGTTCTTTATTTTGGGAGCTTGCTGAAGCCATCATGGACTGCCTCTTTATGTGATTTGATATTGACTGTTGTCTCTGAACCATCAATAAGTTACTATAATTTTATTTTTTATTTGTTTAGTGTGTCCTAGCTTCTTGTTTTGTTTTTTATATGCCCAAATACGCTGCTCGTGTGCGCTAGTTTGATTAATGGTGTCTTTGAAGCTCTAACGTCCTGTCACCAGGTAGTTAGGTCTGTTAACTAAGTATGTGTGCCCAGGAGTCCATTAAATTTTCCTGTACGGATTCAGCTTAGGTGCCCAGGTAGTTTGTTACCAAGTGTGTGGTGCAGGCTCTCACCTACAGTCTTACAGAGGCATGGGTGATTGGTGTAGGCACAGGTATCTGGCTGCAGTAGGGGGTCACGCACTGAGCGAGGCAGGGGGCTGACAGCTGCCCCTGAGTGTCTGGAAGAAAGTGTGTCCCTGTTCCCTAGAGTGAGTAGGTAGGTGAGTTTTGCAGCCGGACTATGAGCACCCTACTCTGTTGGCTGTAAGGACTAAGGGGTACCACTTATTCTTGGACCCCTTAGCAGGTAGGTAGGTGGCGTGGGTGGAGCCACCAGTCAAGCCACTGATGCAGACAAGTAAGGCGCCTGCTTAAAGGGCGGAGCAGTGTCAAGCGTCACACATCTGCCACTTCACAGCTGAAACAGTTGAAGTTAGACTTCAGGTGTTTACCCTGTTGTACTGTGGTAGTGAGGGCTTATACTGTTGAGATGGGTCCACACAAGTCTATACAGGGGTGGAAGGCACTCAAAGTCTGCAGATCCCTTATGCCTGTGCCTAGGCAAAGGAGCTGTGCCAACCCTGAGTTCCTGGCTTAGGGGAGCCGGTAGCTTATTTTTTACCTGTTTGTTAATTTGTTCCCTCTCCAAGGCCAGGAGAATGAGGCAGGACGCCTTATGGGATCTACTTCCGGCCCAGAGGACTCACAGATAGCTGAAGCCAGCCAGACCCTGTGCAGAGCGGGGAGGAGGGAGGAGGTAAATGGGACAGGTATTTCCCAAATGGGTTTTTTTGTTTTTTTTTTTAAATCCTCACAAAAGGCCACATGCATGTACTTATCTTTAGCCACTTGGGTGCTGCTTTTCACTGGTTCAGAGTGTCCGATCAGAATCTCTGCTGTCGGATCTCTCTCGATGTGGAAACTGCCTCCCAAGCAAGCGAGCAGAGCTGTATGCCTGCTTCACTGTGCACCCCGAGCCGAGCCAGGCTGAAGGGCTGTGGCTCCCGCCGGGTCAGGTCAGGCAACTCTTCGCTGCTTCCGAACTGTCTCTCTCTCTCCCCCTGCCACTCAGTCTGATTCCTCAACTTTGCCTTGTTCAGGGCTCCTAGATATTCATATACAATCAAATCACTTGTTTTTTCAGGTCTTTGTTGTAACAGGGACATAGGAAGCCGTCTGACTACTCCACCATCTTGGCCTCCACAACCAATTCTTTTTAGTACAGTGAATCTGTGTATTTCTTCCATCTTCTTTTGATGCTTCCTGCATTGTTCAATTTTTTGCCCATAGAATCCTTCAATATTGCAACTTGAGGCTTGAACTTACTCTTCAGTTCTTTCAGCTTGAGATACGCTGAGTGTGTTCTTTCCTTTTGGTTTTCTAACTCCAGGTCTTTGCACATTTCATTATAATACTTTACTCTGTCTTCTCAAGCTACCATTTGAAATCTTCTGTTCAGCTCTTCTACTTTATCATTTCTTCCATTCACTTTAGCTACTCTACATTCAAGAGCAAGTTTCATAGTCTCTTCTGACATCTCTTTTGGTCTTTCCTTTCTTTCCTGTCTTTTTAATGACCACTTGCTTTCTTCATGTATGAAGTCCTTGATGTCATCCCACAACTCATCTGGTCTTCAGTCATTAGTTTTCAGTATGTCAAATCTCTTTTTGTGATGGTCTCTAAATTCAGGTGGGACTGTACTTTGGCTCTTGTGGACTTGTTCTAATTTTCTTCAGCTTCAACTTGAACTTGCATATGAGCAACTGGTGGTCTGTTCCACAGTCAGCCTCTGGCCTTGTTCTTTTTTTTTTCTTCCAAACTGAAGGTCATTTTATTTGCATACTTGTCTTATTATCCCTTTTACTGTGCATGATCTCAAATCTCCCACTTCTTCCCCATCTGCGTGAATCTTCGCAGAGTCTTCTAAATAGCTGTCCACTTGCACTTTACCCTCTCCCAGTCTTCTCTTTATTCCAGAGACAGAGTGATTCTCTTCATTCTGACCTTGTTCTGATTGATGATATTGAGCTTCTCTATCATCTCTTTCCACAAATGTAGTTGATTCAATTCCTGGGTATTCCATCTGGCAAGGTCTACGTATATAATCCTTGTTTATGTTGTTGAAAAAAAGTATTTCCGATGAAAACGTCATTGGTCTTGCAAAATTCTATCATGTGGATCTCCAGCGTGGTTTCTAACACCAAGGCCATATTTTCCAACTACTGAACCTTATTCTTTGTTTCCAACTTTCATATTCTAATCACCAGTAATTATCAATGCATCCTGATTACATGTTTGACCAATATCAGACTGAAGAAGTTGATAAAATTTTCAGTTTCTTCATCTTTGGCATTAGTGGTTGATGAGTAAATCTGAATAAGTCGTATTAACTGGTCTTCCTTATAGGAGTATGGATATTATCCTATCACTGATAGCAGTGTACTTCAGGATAGTTCTTGAAATGTGACACTGTTCCTCTTCAATATGTCATTCTGACATAGTAGACCATATGATTGTCTGATTCAAAACGGCCAATATCAGTCCACTTTAGCTCACTAATGGCCAGGATACTGACGGTCTTCAAGTGTTCCATTTCATTTTTGACAACCTCCAGTTTTTCTTGATTCATACTTGGTACATTCCAAGTTCCGATTAGTAGTGGATGTTTGCTGCTGTTTCTTCTCATTTTGAGTAATACCACATCAGCAAAAGAGGGTCTTAAAAGCTTTACTTCGTCCATGTCATTAAGGTTGACTCTACTTGGAGGAGGCAGCTCTTTCCCAGTTGTATTTTGCGTGCCTTCCAACCTGAGGGGCTCATCTTCTAGCACTATATCAGACAATGTTCTACTGTTATCCATGAAGTTTTCACCGGCTAATGTTTCCGAAGTAGATTGTCAGGTCCTTCTTCCTAGTCTGTCTTAGTATGGGCGTTCCACTGAAACCTGTCCATCATGGCTGACCATGCTGGTATTTGAAATACCGGTGGCACAGCTTCCAGCATCACAACACCACCCAAGCCAGCACAGCACAACAAACTGAAAGACAAGTGGTGGCCTTGTATGTACTAACTAAGGTTAGTAGCTTATTTTCTTTAACAATGTCAAGCTCATGCAAGACAAAGACTGAGAAACTGTTCTAAGTTAAATGTGACTAAAGAGACTAACAATAAATGTAAAATGTGATCCTCAATTGAATTCTATGCCAGAAAAACTACAGTTGCAATAAAGAACATTATTCGGACAATTGATGAAATTGGAATATGAATTATAGATAAAAGTATTTTTTCATATTAAATTTCCTAAATTGAAGGTGAACTATGGTTATACAGGAGAATACTATTGTTCTTAGGAAACATACACGGAAGTATTAAAGGGTAAAGAGACTTTATGCAACCTCTTAAGTGGTTCAAAAATAATATGTATGTGTATAAGGGGAGGGAGAGAAAATTACAAGGCAAATGTGACAAAATGTTGGAAATTGAATTTAGGAAAGGTCATATGTGAATTCTTTGTACCATCCTTATAATTTTTCTGAAAGTCTGAAGTTATTTCAAAATTAAAACTTGAAAAACTTTTTAAATGTTAATGTGTAAAGATTTTCACCATGAATAATTAATTGATAAAAGCCGAGTATGGCAAAATGGCATGTCTAGTACAAATGCTTTGAATAGTGGCAAATTAAGGAACTTATGCTAGAACATAAATCAATACATGACTTTCTTCATCAAAGTCTTGCTATGGAAAAAAAAGTCAGCTGTACTAAACTGTGCTTAGTGATATTCTGGTACATCCTGGTAACAGTTTATATACTGGCACTGCATTTTGAGTAATACTGGTCTAATATACCACTTTTTTGCACTCAATCAATCGAACAATCAATACTTTAAAAAAATATGTGTATGTATTTGGAAGAATATACACCAAGTTATAGCAGTTAACTCTGAGAATCACGACTAAAGATAATTTTCATTTTTTCTTCTTGTATTTTCTAATGTTTCTACAATGACTACAAATTATTTTTGTAATGAGAAAAACAAAAGTAAACTTTTAAAAAAGAGAGAGTGAAAAATAATTTAATCTTATCTACCGGCAATTAGATATTTTGGAATCTGACTCCTATGTCACAACACACCATTTTGTCTGATGTTCACATATTGCCAAAATTTTCCAAAAGTATCTCACTTACAGCTGATCTTGAAGTTCCACAATTATATATTCTAATTGTTCCTTCTCCAATTTATGGGCCAGTTCAGAATCTTCAATCCTTTGAAGTAGTATTTTATTCTGGGAGACTGATTCAGATAGTTGGTTCTCTCGAAGTCTTAAGAGTTCTTCAAGATAACCCTGGAAATACAGTACCACCAACATATAGCAACTGAAAAATTCTCATATATATCTTGAAGATCAGTCATGAGTAACTTAAAAGTTATTCCTATCTATACTGTAATGAAGCAATTTCAAAGCACCACTGATGAAACAGTAGAAAAATTTAACATATGTTCTCCATTATTTAAAATTGTTTTCTAAAGTTTAATAAAAAATATTTGTAATTTAAGGCAACACTTAGTTATAATACCATAATTTCTAAGCTCCACAACAGTGATAAATAATTTACATGCTTTCTAGCTTCAAAATGCAGACCTAATTTCAGAACGATCAATTCAAAAGCTGCCCCATATGAAGATTTTCAAACACACATAGATACTAATATTTAAGCAGCAACATGCTAATGGGAGGCAGAATAATGTTTCAGTTAGACTTGCAGCTTTAGGGACTGTATAGTCTCATATTCCTTATCTTACCAACTATGTGTCATTGAGCAAGCTACTTAACCTCTCTGAGCCACAGTTTCCTCATCTAAAAAAGTAGGAACCTAGCTGTGAAGAGTGAGTCAACATGGTAAACTGCTTGAAATAGTGCCTCATAAATTATATGCACTATATAATTTGTTGTTGTTAGGTGCCATCAGTCGGTTCCGACTCATAGAGACTGTCTGTACAACAGAATGAAACAAAGCTCGGTCTTGTGCCATCCTCAAAACTGTGGTTATGCTTGAGCCCACTGTTGCATCTACTGTGTTAATCCATCCTGTTGAGGGTCTTCCTCTTTTTTGCTGACCCTCTGCTTTACCGAGCATGATGTCCTTCTCCAGGGACTGGTCCCTCCTGATAACATGTCCAAAGTATGTGAGACGAAGTCTTGCCATCCTTGCTTCCAAGGAGCATTCTGGCTGTTCATTCTTCTGGTAGTCCATGGTATATTCAATATTCTTTGCCAACACCATAACTCAAAGGCATCAATTCTTTGGTTTTCTTTATTCACTTTCTAGCTTTCACATGTATATGAGGTGATTGAAAACACCGTGGCTTGGGTCAGGCACCATGTAGTCCTTAAAGTAACATCTTTGCTACTCAACACTTTACAGAGGTCTTTTGCAGTAGATTTGCCCAATGCAATACATTGTTTGATTTGTTGACTGCTGCTTCCATGGGCATTGATTGTGGATCCAAGTAAAATAACATCCTTGACAACTTCAATATTTTCTCCGTTTCGCATGATGTTGCTTACTGGTCCAGTTGTGAGGATTTTTGTTTTCTTTATATTGAGGTGTAATCCACACTGTCTTTGATCTTCACCAGTAAGTGCTACAAGTCCTCTTCACTTTCAGCAAGCAAGGTTGTATTATCTGCATATTGCAGGTTGTTAATGAGTCTTCCTCCAATCCTGATGCTGCGTTCTTCTTTATACAGTCCAGCTTCTCAGATTACTTGCTCAGCATACAGATTGAATAAGTATGGGGAAAGGATACAACCCTGATGCACACCTTTCCTGGTTTTAGACCACACAGTATGTCCTTGTGCTATCTGAACAACTGCCTCTTGGTCTATGTACAGGTTCCACATGAGCACAATTAAGTGTTCTGGAACTGCAATTCTTCGTAATGTTATCCATAGTCTGTTAAGATCCACATGGCCTAATGCCTTAGCATAGTCAATCAAGCACAGGTAGACATCTTTCTGATACTCTCTGCCTTCAGCCAAGATCCATCTGACATCAGCAATGATATCCCTTGTTCCACGTCCTCTTCTCAATCCGGCTTGAATTTCTGGCAGTTCCCTGTCGATGTACTGCTTTTGAATGATCTTCAGCAAAATTTTACTTGCATGTGATATTAATGATATTGTTCAATAATTTCTGCATTCTGTTGGATCACCTTTCTTTGGAATGGGCACAAGTATAAATCTCTTCCAGTCAGTTGGCCAGGTAGCTGTCTTCCAAATTTCTTGGCACACATGAGTGGGCACTTCCAGTGCTGCATCTGTTTGCTAAAACATCTCAACTGTTATTCCATCGATTCCTGGAGCCTTGTTTTTTGCCAATGCCCCCAGTGCAGCTTGGACTTCTTCTTCAGTACTATCGGTTCTCGATCATATGCTACCTCCTGAAATGTCTGAACCTCAACCAATTCTTTTTGGTACAGTGAATCTGTGTATTTCTTCCATCTTCTTTTGATGCTTCCTGTGTTTTTTAATATTTTCCCCATAGAATCGTTCAATATTGCAACTCGATGCTTGTATTTTCTCTTCAGTTCTTTAAGACTGAGAAATGCCGAGCGTGTTCTTCCCTTTTTGTGTTCTAACTCCAGGTCTTTCACATTTCATTATAATACTTTACTCTGTCTTCTCAAGCCACCCTCTGAAATCTTCTGTTCAGCTCTTTTACTTCATCATTTCTTCCATTTGCTTTAGCTACTCTACATTCAAGAGCAACTTCTAGAGTCTTCTTTTGACATCCTTTTGGTCTTTTCTTTCTGTCCTGTCTTTTTAATACCTCTTACTTCCTTCATGTATGATGTCCTTCTACAACTCATCTGGTTTTCAGTCATTAGTATCTAATGAGTCAAATTTATTCTTGAGACAGTCTCTAAATTCAGGTGAAATATATTCAAGTTCATACTTTGGCTCTTGTGAACTTTTTATTATTTTCTTCAGCTTCAACTTGAACTTGCATATGAGCAATTAATGGTATGTTCTACAGTTGGCCCCTGGTCTTGTTCTGACTGATGATACTGAGTTTTTTCACCGTCTCTTTTCACAGATGTAGTCAATTTGATTCCTGTGTATTCCAACTGGAGAGGTCCATGTGTACGGTCACCGTTTATGTTGGTGAAAAAAGGTATTTGCAACGAAGAAGTTGTTGGTTTTACAAAATTCTATCACGCAATATCTCTGGTGTCGTTTCTATCACCAAGGCCATACTTTGCAGCTACTATTCCTTCTTCTTTGTTTCCAACTCTCACATTTCCCAGTAATTATCAGTGCATCTTGATTGCATGTTGGATCAATTTCAGACTGCGTAAGTTGGTAAAAATCTTCAGTTTACTCATCTTTGGCATTACTGGTTGGTGTGTAAATTTGAATAGTCGTATTACCTGGTCTTCCTTGTAGGTGTATGGATATTTTCCTATCACTGACAGCGTTGTACTTCAGGACAGATCTTGAAATGTTCTTTTTAATGATGAATGCAACGCCATTCCTCTTCAATTTGTCATTCCTGTCATAGTATACCATATGATTGTCCGATTCAAAATGACCAATACCAGTCCATTTCAGCTCACTAATGCCTAGGATATCAATCTTTATGCCTTCCATTTCATTTTTGATGACTTCCAGTATTCCTTGATTCATACTTTGTACATTCCACATTCTGATTATTAATGGATGTTTGCAGTTGTTTCTTCTCATTTTGAGTTGTGCCACGTCAGCAAATGAAGGCCCGGAAACTTGACCCCATCCATATCATTAAGGTTGACTCTACTTTGAGGAGGCATCTCTTCACCAGTTGTATTTTGAGTGCCTTTCAACCTGAGGGACTGATCTTTGGGCACCATATCAGACAATGTTCTGCTGCTATTTATAACGTTTTCACTGGCTAATTTTTTCAGAAATAACAGACCACCAAGTCCTACTTCCGTCTCAGTCTAGAAGCTTAGCTGAAACCTGTCCACCATAGGTGACCCTGCTGGTATTTGAAATACTGGTGGCATAGTTTCTAGCATTATGGTAACACACAAGCCACCACAGTATGACAAACTGACTGACATGTGGGGACTATATAATTACTACCTAATAGATATGAAACTTTTTGGACTGATCCTCTGTTTCCTACCTTTTACTCATTTACTATTTCTTTGTCCTTTGGCTTCACTGAATATATGTATCTCTTCCAAATTCTTATACTAAATTTTTTAACACAGGAAATCATATTTTTAATTTCCAATAGCTCTTTCTTGTTTTCTGATCGTTCCTTTTTCATGGCATCCTATTCTTCTCTTTAGTTGCAATATGCTTTCAAATTTCTCTGAGGATATTAATTAGAATCTTCTTTTTCTTAAAGTACTTTTCCATTTTACATTATCTTATTCAAGTGTCATTAACAGTTTTAGATATTTCAGCTTTATGATACATGTTAGGAGTCCTGGCAGTGCAGTAGTTAAGAGCTCGGCTGCTAACCAAAAGGTCAGCAGTTCAAATCTGCCAGCTGCTCCATGGAAACCCTATGGGGTAGTTCTACTCTGTCCTACAGGGTGGCTATGACTCGGAACCAATTTGATGGCTATGGATGGGCAGTGGCGATACACATTAATAGTAGCTAGTACTTCTCTCTCCTCACTGAATTTCTTATTTGGATTTTTTCTGGAAATTCTCAAAGATTTGTTTTCCATAATAATTTTATTTTTAACTTTCGAGATTTTAGTTTTTATAAATGAATTATTTCATATACACATACATAACTTACTACAAACATTACATGTATTTACATTTATAAATACATTATTCATATACATTGTTTATAAATATTAGTAATTAAAAATACTTATATACCTACCGCAGAGATTAATTATTAATACTTTTAGAGCCCCTATAGTACCTCTCCCTGATCACATCCCTCTGCCTCCTCTGCAAAGATAACAATATCCTGAGATTTGTGTTAATCATCCCCTTGTTTTTCTTTCTAGTTTTACTACAAATGTGTATCATCTTAAACAACATATGGTTTAGTTTTGCTGGGTTTTTGAAACTTGCTTTTTCATCTATGTAGATGTGTCTAGCTATAGTTTATTCACTCTCATTACTGTACAGTATTCCATTGTATGACTACTGCAGAGTTTATTTATTCACACTCCTATCAATGGCCATTTGGATTATTTTAGGTTTTCCTTATTCTGAGAAGTATTGCTGTGAACACTGAGTTATATGTCTCATGATACACATATCCAAGAGTTTCTAGGTGGTAAGACTAGGAGTGGAACTGCTGGGGCAAACTCCATACATATCTTCTCATTTATTAGATAATGCCAAATCGTTCTCCAAAGCTTTTGTGCTAATCACATTCCCACCTGTTATTATATTCACATGAGTTTATTAGTATCACAGCTATACTAGATTAATTAAATTCATTGAAAAAATATTTCTTCTTTTTTTATTCTCAGGAACAGTCAGTATAAGAAAGGAATCACTGTCTTTTGAACATTTGGTAGGACCCACCTCCAAAACCATGCAAGTCTGTTAATTTTTTTTTTGTGTGTGGACTGAATTTAAACTACTTACTCAATTTATTTCAGGAGCCCTGGTGGCACAGTGGTTAAAGCACTCACATGCTAACCAAAAGGTCAGCAGTTCGAACACACCAGCACTCCAAGGGAAAAAGATGTGGCACTCTTCTTCTGTAAAGATTTGCAACCTTGGAAACCCTATGAGGCAGTCTATTCTGTTTTATACGGTCACTCTGAGTTGGAATTGACTGAATGGCAGTGGGTTTGCTTTTGGTTTACTCTATTTAACAGTTATGTTTATCAGTTTTGATAAGTAATTTATTTATAAAAATTCTTCATCTAATTTTCTAAGTTATTGACAAAATTTTTAAAAGTATTCACTAATTGTTATTTTTGAGGGGTCTGCTGCATTTGTAGTTATGTTGCCTACTCCCTTTTCATTGTTAAAATTATCCATTGCCTTAACTCTTTTTTAAACTGTAATTATTCTTGCTAAGATTGTCTATTTCATTAATTTTTGCAAATAATCAACTTTGGTTTTGTTAATTGTGTTTCTCTTCTATTTCATTAGTATCTGTTCTTATTTTATTATTTTCTTTCTTTTGAATTGGTATGGTTGTTCTTTGTCTACTTCTTGGATACTTATCTCTTTAATTTTCAATCTTTCTTTTCTATGTTAAGCATTTAATTCTACATGCATTGTACAAGTTGCAACTTACAACCTTTAATAGGCATTGTTTTCATTCTCGTTTACTTGTAAATATTTCCTCATTTTTTAACTATAATTATTAGAAGTTTTTTTTTTTTTTTAATTCCCTGGTATGTCAGTGGTAGTGACCATCTGTACTGATACCTAACTTTACTGTGCTGTGGTCAATATTATTTATATTATACACATTAGTAATTTTGGACATTTATCACCTAGTATTCTTCATAAAAATTATACAGCTGTCCCATGTGAGAATGAAAAGAAAGTGTATTCTAATTATTAGGTATACCATTTTATATATTTTATTCGATCAAGCTTATCGTGTTGTCCAAGTTCACTACATCCTTAATTTTTTGACTGTTTAATCTAAAAATTACTCTGAAAGACATGTTAAAATTTCCTATAATAATTATGGATTTATCAATTTCTCCTGAACGTTCTATTAATTTTTGTTTCATATTTTTCATGACTACATTTTTAAATGCATGTAAGTTCAGCATTGTTATACATTCCTGGTGAATCGTTTCACTTTTAAACAGACAATGTCTTTCTTTAGTCTTAATACTTTTTGCTTTAATGTCTATGTTCAATAGTAATAAAGAATTCTTTTTGTTAGTATTTGCCTACTATTCTTTATCCCCTTAATTTCAACTTTTTTGTGTCATTATATTTTAGTTGTGTCTCTTACAGACAACATATAGCTAAGTTGTATTATTATTTTTAATAAATCTAGAGTTTGTCTTACCTAACAAGTTTATACTATTTACTTTTATGATGATGTTGACTTATTCGGTTATAGTCAGATTTATATATACCATCTTATTTCCTGTTCTCTATCATCCTTAATTTTTCTCATGTACTCCCTTCTATTGTATTGATTATATTTTCTTTCTTTTCCATCCCACTACTAGTTTTTAAGTTAAACATTCCATTTCCATTCTTTTAATTGCAACTCCTAAATGGTTAACTTTAGAGACAGACAAGCACATTTAAAAAGTATCTCTTCCCGCCTTCACTATAATACAAACACCTCAAAAAGCTTTAGCTTCAATATCTTCTCTCACCCTTTATGATATTGTTAGCCAGGGTTTTATTTTCACTTTGCTTTCATAACCCAGTGGTAGGCTGCCGCCAGTTTGCATGGGCTCTCAAGTGATTAAAGTTAAATTTTGTGAGTCAGTTGTGCAACATCGCTATTATTAAAAATTAAATTACATAATCTTACAATTAAGTAAATTATATTAAAAGCAAAGATAATAACTACTCAAACTCATCACATTCTAATTATTTTTACCATATTTTATCTATGCTCTTGAGGTCATTCACATTTATGCATCTGTATGGTAGAAATACACGTCTATGCTGGTGTGCTATTGTGCATCTCTTTCCAATTCTGCATTCAGTAATGTCACATATTAAACTGACCGTGACCATGGTGGGAGTATTTACTCCATAAACCGAAAAAAAAAAAAAACCTGTTGTCATCAAGTCAATTCCAACTCATAACGACCCTACAGCCCAGAGCAGAACTGCTCCCTAGGGTTTTCAAGGAGCAGCTGGCAGATTCAAACTGCTGACCTTTTGATTAGCAGCCGAGCTCTTAACCACTGTGCCACCAGGGCTCTGTACTTCACTCCATAGTAACTAGCAAATGCTACAAATCAGGGCTCCTTCCCCATTCTCCCTATGAAAGTCAGCTGATAAACACATACCAGCACACCACTGCCACTCCACATTGATCATTATTATTGTTTTTTTTTTAATGTAGCCAAGGTGTATTTACCAATTTCTTTGCTTACTCTGTCATTTTGCATTTCACACCTGCCATCTAGGTTCAAGTTCCATTCTGAATGATAATGGGCCTAGATCTACTGCCTCCCTGTTGATATTAAAACACAGCACAGGTACCTAGGTTAAGGGATTATCCCCTCCCCTCCACCTGTCAGGGCCTGTAGCAACATTGACTCATGCACTTATTCCTTTTGTTTTCAGATTCCTCTGTTTCTGGTCCCTACCAACTAGTTGCCATTGAGCTGATTCTGATTCATGGCAACCCCTTGTGTGTCAGAACAGAACTGTGCTCCACAGGGTTTTCAATGCCTAATTTTTCAGAAGCAGATCACCATGCCTTTCTTCTGAGGCACCTCTGAACAACTCAAACCACCAACCTTCTAGTTAGCTGCCAAGTGTGTTAACTGTCTGCACCACCCAGTTTCTGGTTGCTAGTGAGTTCCCTTTCTTTGAGAGCTCAGCTCTGCATAAAACTTTTTAAAAATTGTATTTACCCAGCATTTCCAGATTTTTACAGTGGTTTTCAGATTATCCTAGTCTTCCTTCTTGCTGATACCAGAAGTCTCCTTTAATAGGGTATTAAAGTTTTCTTTATATAGATTATGCACGTTTGTATTGCTGTTACAAATGGTATCTGTTTTCGAACCAATGGTTTTTCATTTTAGGAAAACTATTCATATTTGTAAATTTATTTTGTAACCATTCTTCCCCAGTGAATTTTTCACTGTTCTAATATTTCTATAGCTAATCCACTGAGCTTTCCCAACATATATCATCTATGAATAATAATAAATTTGAAGGAAGGGCAGAAAGGAAAATGAGATAATACAGTAAAAAAAGAAGAGGTTACAAACTCTTCAAGGGCTGGAGTTTATTTTTCTTTTATATGCTCCACTTTGCCTAGTATAGTGCTTATTAACACACAAGAATTGCTGAAGTACCTGATTGAAAAAATCGGATGTATATGAAATGTGCTCAGTCACTGCATTTTCACAAACCAATAATGTTTTATAAAATTAATCATAGGAACAAAAATCACAAACACATAAATTAAAACTGCTTACAGAATAAATAGCTTATTTTTATATTAAAACATGAAATTAGAAAAACTTTAACAAACAAAGCCTCTCCTAAAACATTACCTGATTTTTAATTAAAAGGAGGACAGTTAAAGAACAGAAAAAAGTAGGAATGGGTAAACAAATTTATTCAGTTAAAAGATCTTTTGGCAGTTAATAGCCTAGAGGCATTAATTAGAATCAAATTAAAGACTTTTGAACACTGATAAATACCTTCTGTTCCAGGGTAAGCTGATACTTTTGTTTAACTCTCTTACACTTGTTAAACCAACTATTTTCATCCATGATGAAAGGAGGTCCGACATTCTCTGGAGTGCTGCTTTCACTACCGCTGCTTCCCAAAGTCCTTAGCTCTTCCTCATCACTGCTGATACTATCAGAACTGGGAAGATAAAAATTTTTAAAAATAAATAAAGTCAATTATATGTTCTCAGTTGGTGATCTAGGAAACAAACCAACCAACCAACCAACACCAAGGGATACTTCCCTGTCACAGCTATGGCTTTGAGTGGACTGGAGAAAAGAAAGCAGTGGTTAACAATAAATTTCCGATTTTGAAAATACCCAACAGGATTTAAAAAAAAGATAAGTGAAATTAAAAACTAATGCATGAGCTAAAAAGCAGATTAGATACAACTGAAGAGAATTTGTAAACTGGAAGACAGATATGAAGAAATTACAATATAATTATATATATTTATTGTAATGTTTACTAAAGATATTTTCAAAATGGTAAGAGAAGATAACTGCCACACTAGGATAATACATCCAGAAAAATTATCTTCCCAGAAAGAAGGTGATATAAACACATTCCCAGATAAAAACTGAGAGATGTACTAACAAATTTTCACTAAAAGAACTTCCAACGATTATACTTTAGGAAGAAAGAAAATGACCAAATAAGGAGGGTCTGTTTTGTAAGAGGGAAAAGTAAGCAAGTAAAATGGTAAACTTACAGGTAAACATTAAACAAATATTGAGAGTTTGAAATAGTAACAATGGTGCCTACTTTGTAGAATTTTAAATAATGTCAGACCTAGAATTTTGGATAGCAACAGCATATACGTCAGGAAGAAAATGACTAGAGTTAAAGGAATGTTAGCTCTCATTTGTTTGGGTGGATGGTAAAGATACTAACTTTGGATTGTGTTAAATTTTAAATATGCATATTAAAATCAATGGGGTATCGGTAAAAGAAGTATAGTGTGTAACTTCTACACTAGTAGAGGAATAAAATGGGAGGAAAAGGAAATAAATCCAGAAGAGGGAAGAAAGAAGACAGGGTGCAAAAAAGCCCAAAAAACAAAAATGCAAAAAAGCAGGACAGTTAGAAAGCAAAAAATACCAAAAAACAAAACAAAACCGCTTGCCGTCAAGTCAATTCCGACTCATAGCGACCCTATAGAACAGAGAACTGCCCCAGAGGGTTTCCAAGGAGCAGCCTTAACCACTGCACCACCAGGGCCCCAGAGCAGATATCAATCCAAATATACCAAAAATTGACTAAGCATCTCGTTTAAAAGACAAACCCACTGCCATCGAGTTGATTCCAACATAGTGACTCTGCAGGACAGAGTAGAACTGCCCCATAGGGTTTCCAAGGCTGTAATCTTTACGGAAGCAGGTTACCAAATCTTTCTTCCGTGGAGTGGCTAGTAGGTGCAAACTGTTGACCTTTTGGTTAGGAGCCAAGCACTTAACCACTGCACCACCAGGGCTCCTTATTTAAAAGACAAAGCCTATTAAAACAGAGGTTTAGAAATCTAGATATGTACTATTTTAAAACAACACACTTAAAAACATAAGGACACAGAAAGGTTAAAAGCACTGTTTCAGAAATTCCTGGTGTACATTTTTTCACATATTAACATTTCTTAAATCAGGGTATAGCTTACAATTGCTGTCATCAATTTTTTTCACATTTTAATGTTTCTTAATTGAAATGCATTTACAATGGAAGGCATGTTACATTAGATGAATCATGGAAAAAAAGATAAAACTATACTAGAAAAATACTAACAAAAAAAACCTAGTGGTATTCTAGTAATATCAAACAAAATAGACTTTAAAAAAACAAATAAATAAAAAGTATACTGATGGTTACTACATACTGATTAAAAAAAACAAAAAAATTCAGTACTTTAGGAAACTTTTAAGAATTCTAAACTTACGTGTATCTAATGATGTAAGTTTAAAATATATAAAGCAAAAATGAAAAAAGCACGAGGAAAAACTGACAAATCAAACAGAATTTAATATATCATCTCAGTAACTTAAAAGATCAAGCAGATAAAAATTAAAAAAGGATACAGAATATTAAAACAATACCAGTAACAAGCATAATCTATGAACAAAAAACCTAATTATTGGAAAACTGGCCTATTCTAGGTCATTTCTCAACAAACTTCAAGGAACTGTTTTTATGTAGACCACATGTCTAACCACAGCAACAACAAAACAATAACAAAGAGCCCTAAAAATATTTAAAAATCAAAAATTATACTTCTAAATATCTCTCTGTCAAAGAAACCTGCTTGATAAATTATTTATTTTAGTTCAGTTGTTAGGTACCTTCGAGTCGCTTCTCAACTCATAGTGACCCTATGTGACACTAGGATTTTCTTGGCTGCAATCTTTACTGAAACAGATCACCAGGTCTTCCTCTTGCAGAGCTGCTGGATGGGTTCGAACCACCAACCTTTCAGTTAACAGCTGAGTGCTTAACTGTTGGGACACCAGGGTTTTTTCTATTTACATATTTCATATTTTAGTTTCACAAAGATAAACCTCCATTTAAAAAGAAAAAGACTGATGGTCAATAAACATAAAAAAAGCTTATGAACTTTACCAGCAATCAAATAAATGCAAATTAAAATAACAATAGGATCTCATTTTTCACTTATACAATTAGCCACATTTTTAATTCTTGGTTAGCATGGCTGAGAAACAGGTGGTCTCATGTACTGGTGATAGAAACTAAATTTGTTATGAATTCTCTGGAGGGCAATTTGACGGTGTATGTTAAAAACTTTAATAATATGTATGCTTTTTATCCCAAAAACTCCATTGCTAGAATTTTAACTTAAGGAAATAATCATGGTTCCATGTCAAAAGATATAGTTAGAAGGATATTAAATGCAGTACTACATATGAGTGAATAACTAAATGTACCCTAAAAGTCCAACAATAACTGGTACTGAAATAAATGTTTTATAAAAAGTAATTTCAATCAGATGAAAAATTGCACAAAAACAAGTCATTTGATTATAAATTAAGATCTCAATAACATATTTTAAAATGTCAAATACCTTTGGGTAAACTTCAAATATGGTGTATAGTCTATTACAGCAGGGAAGTTGCCATCCAATCCCTCTCCTTTTAGGCAGAAGCTAATAGACAATAAATATTCCATATTAAAACAAAGATTTTAAAATAAAATGTAGCTGTGATAAACTCCTGTTACAGGCATTTGTTTTATCAAATTGCAGGTTAATTTTCTGTTTGCAATTTAATTGTTACATGTGACAAATAAACACCTCAATAAAGACAGTCTACCTTCAATACCAATGACAAAGCATTTTACAAGTTAATGCACTGTTATATAAATATATCAAGAAAAAATAAAATTTACTGATAAATACGTTCAAACGTCATCTCTTTATTTAATATTATCTTGGTCTTTATTGGACTTTTAAAAAGTCCCTAGAGAATTTTCAAATGAAGATATGTTCTTCACATTTAGACAAATTCTCAGGAGACAATGAATATCCACTAAAGATTTGACTGATAAGAAAACTAGGAGAGACTTATCGTCTGAACAGCTAAAAGGTCTAGGCTCTACACCTAAACAGGATGTTTAAAATCCCCTAACCTATATATAGTCAGTCCTTTTTGAGGCCACAGCAACAGGCCAAATGTTAAGTAATTTGCCCAAAGTCATACGGTGAGTCTGGAAAGCTAGTAAAGGAACTTTAAATCTCCTGGTCCCCTAATCAGTAATCTTTGTTTTGTATGATGATACATCCAATAGAACAATAAAAGAAAAGGTTTTTAGTTTTATGATTAGAATTGTTTTTTAAAAACGTACATCTTCTAGGAACATAAACACAGGAATATTCATAAGATATAGATTGATATTTCAAAGGAAAAACAACTATGAACTTTCAGCTTCTAGTTTCTTTGGTCTGTATGGGCTTTCCTTCACTTACAGAAATGTTACTGATGTGTCTTCAAGACAAATGCTTGCAGGTGATTATACAGTTTCAATAGGTTACACTAAGCCAATGGTTACTACTCTTATCCCAGTGGGGTTTCTGTTTGTTTGTTTGTTTTCTGGTGACCAAGATCATATATTTATTTACAAAAAAGAAAAAAAAATCTGTAAGGAATTCAGACGGAGTCAGAAACATACCATGTAAAAAGTTAACATCCTCAGAGGGATCAGAAAGACACTCTTTCTACTACATCTATCATATTCACCCTAAAATGCAAGCTAATTAGCCTAATAAGAGTTTATTAAATCTTAAAGAGAGAAAAGTTATACTCATGAAAGGACAACTACTTTGAAAAGAAAGCTATTTACTAGAAAAGGTACTCTCAGTGAAAATAGGCAGCATTATTTTTAAATTCAAGTCCTACAAGTAAATTTTCATGTAAGCCTTATATTTTGTTAATATTCTTGAATTTTCAAATGATATTGTTTCAAGGTACATCTAGTATTTCCATCATTCTTTTGTTTCAGTTCTTTTAATAGACAGATCTTTTATTTTAGTATAATGTAAAGTCTGTTGTCAATTAAAGAAATACAAAAGGATGCTTCTATAAATTTTAAAAAAAAAACAAACTTATATTGTCCATTTTTAGAATGTGTAATCTTAGTCTGGAGTCAACTCCACTTGTAGAAAACAAAAGAAAATGTGAACAATATTATTTGATATTCTAGATCCATAGATAACGTAAGAATCATAAGATACCTAAGATATCTTGCCAGGATCTTCTATATCTCAACACCTGAGATAATGAGAATCTTTGAAGCTCTGAATCTACTTTAATCTATTTCTTTTCATTTCAAAGCAGTAGCTGAAAAATACTAAAAGATAAGATCCAAAATGTTTTTTCAGTGCTATTAGGGTACAAAATATTTCTGCTTGGGCAGATTTGGTATAAGTTTTCATTTTACCCAAGCTAGAAAGCAAGCCTATCGGTTAATTCCTGAAGTTTGTGATAGTCTATTCTGAGACAGCAAACCCTTTAGAAATCTAACTGATGTCATTTGAAAGAGAACAACATGAATCAAATATCAATATACAACTATGTGGTTTACTTAGACAAAAAAAGAAAAAGCATAAATAGAGACGATTATGAGACAGAATTATTTAAAAACTGAGTGCACTTGAATAGATTAAGTACCTGAAATCAATAGCATTGAGTCCAAGCAGCATGCCAGCAAGCATATTTGCTTCCTCACCCAAGACAATTGCTCCATCTTCATAAAATCTCCTAAAAAATAAATATCCAAAACAGACTGAAATTTGAGCTACAGTAATTACTTAGAGCCCAAACTACTGTAGGAAGGGCTGAATTTTATTTAATTTCTTAAAAAACATCCTTGGATCACTCAAATCATACAGATATTTGGGAAAAACCATTGCCACAATAACAAACCTCACTCTCTCCAAATGCTTCCACCTCTCTTAAAAAGAATCCTCAAAGTGACTCCTAATGAGCCCACTGTGCCTAGCATTCTTCCCTAATAGTGATGTAATATCAATGCAACTTCAAGGATGATAAATTCAGAGTCATTTATACTGGTGTATTTTCAAAACTAGGGGCAGTGGAAATTGTTTTTACTGATTTACATAAAAGGGGAAGAACTAAAACTTCCAACTCAAAAAGAATTAGTAAAATAAATGGAAAGATTTTCTACATAATCTATTGAGGTGTTCTATTAAAAGGTAAAGATATTAGACACATCCATGTATCTGAGATTTTGTCCCTGACCTAAAATCTAAATTGGCTGTTGACAGAATATTTTATTTACTCCCAGAAGAACTATGTTTCCAATGATTCTAAATCATCAAATTCTCTGGGCCCTCTGCTTTAAAAAAGAATTCTGGGAACCATCCGATATTCCTAGTATTTCCCTACATTTTTTTTAAAAAAGTATTTTTATTCTCCATCTTGAGCCCACCATGGTTTAAAAGTACATTACAAGAGTCAGATCAAAACTATCTTTGCTTGTTTCCTAACATCAACATCATATTACGTACTGGTGAAAAATATTAAGAACAAACAAACCAAAAAACTGATTTTAGAGATACTTTCAAAGTCTTTTATGTGTGTGTGTATATTATATTAATAAGTTTTTTTGCTTTCATTTAACTAATGATTTTTTTAAGCTAATCAATTATAAGTAAATGCTTGCTTTATATGTGAAATCAATAATTTCACTCAAATGAATACCATACCTCAAGCATGCTATTGCATACGTCTAATAATACAACAATCTTCATTGCAACAGAGGAGAGGAGAAGACAAAGGGAAAAGGAAGAAGTAGTTAGGAGAATTAGCCATTATATGCTGAATTTTTTCATTATTCTGGTTAAGGAAAAAAGCATTTTTCAGAAAATGCACGTCTAGGTTTCAGATCATATATTGTAAAAATAATCTAATTCAGTATTAAGGAGAAAAATGAACTGAAGGTATCTGAAAATGACCATATTTTAATCATTCAGTATCAAAGACCAAAGCCATTCATGTGTTTAAAAGACGTAGAAGCTGTTTGGAAAAATTAATTTTTTATTCTCTAAATCAAACTACCATATCAATAATTTTTACTGGCTTGCGTTATCAACACTTTCAAAGACTCCAAAATATTGCAAACTTTCAACCTCCTAATTTTCCCTCATAGTAAAATTGAAGCACTAATGTTTGCTTATATAACCAAGGTTATCTTTTGGCAACAAATGAGCTGAGAGTAAAGCCTGAGATTATCTACTAATCCAATAACAGTAAGGTACACACCAAAAAATAACTCCCTTTATTTAAAAAAAAATATTTTTTGTTCTAAAGAAAATATTTTTAAGAATCGAACCAAAACAGTATGCTGAACTACAACAATGTATTGCAAATACTGAAAGTACCAAGGTAAAAAAAATACACAGAACTTCCACTTAAAGATTTGTATATTAGACTTAAAATGTCTTTAAGTATAGTTTTGTATTTTAGAAGCAAACAAAAATTGTGAAAAATTATTTAATACTACTGCGATTTGGAAGAAACCAAACCAAAAACCGAACGCATTGCCATAGTGAATTCGGACTCACAGTGACCCTATAGGGCAAGGCAGAACTGCCCCATAGGGTCCAAGGCTGCAATCTTTGTGGAAGCAGACTGTACATCTTTCTCCCAAGGAGTGGCTGGTGGTTAAGCACTAAAGCGCTTAACCACTGCGCCACCACAGCTCCTTTTTTGGAAGAAAAGCCTCCATTTTTTATTAGGATTATTCCTAATTATGTTATTTAAGTAACTATAAAATTATGAGTCGGAACTGACAGGATGGCAATGGGTGTTTTGGTTTTGATACAAGAGTAATTAATCCACCATTTCTTTTATCACATATAGTTAAACTCTAATTGAAATATGTCCCTATAATGCTATCCATAGTGTTCATTCTATAAAGACCATTTTAAGGCCTTTCAGGTATGTAAGTAAGAAATAGGATAGGATACAAAGTATACAACCAGTATAGATTTAGTTATTATTGGACAATATCATACTTCAAATTTTCCTGTTTTGAAAGTCTAGAAATTGTTCTACACACTGGAAGTGTAATATTAAAATATAAGAAAGCTTATTTTATAAGCCAAAGACATTTCATTATCAATATTCTTGCTACCCCAACATATATATTGCCTCTTCTCCAATTTAGTTTCTATATAAGAAACATTTATTCCCCTTCATGACATGCAAAACAGATTAAAGAATTATAAATGTTACATTCTATTGAAAGCCAAATTAAATAAGAAAAAAAAAGTGACCAAAAAGTAAATCTCTAAAGGTCTTTGTAATAATTTGAGACTCATATCAACAAATATATAATAAATTTCTACTACGTGGCAAGAAATGTGCTAGGCAGTACAACTAAAATGGTGAACGAGCTAGACATGGTCCCTGCCTTTATAGAACTTAATGGCCTGGGGGAAGAACAAACAACAAAGAAAAGAACAAAATAATTTCAGATTATGATAAAATAAATAGGTTTTTAAGGTAGAGAAAAACTGAAGGAGAACTCAACTTTCAAGGTAGTCATCAGGAAAGATCTCAAGTGTTTAAAACTGAGACCTTAAGCTCACAGGATCAGATAAGGCATTGGAGGCCATATAGCATTAATAATAATAGTGAACATTTATTGAGTGGCAGGCATAGTTACAAAGTGCTTTACATGTATTATCTTCTTTAACTTTAGTACCACATATCATGCCACAGAAGATTAAGTAAACTTGTCCAAGATTTCACAGCTAGAAAGTAGTGACACCAGGATTTGACTCCAGGAAATACAACTGCAGAGCCTGCTGGCTAAGTGTAATAGAAACCATTTCAATGTTTTAGGTGGGAATGCACATAATCCTCTTACTCCTACTATACCAGAAAACAAAACAAAACACATCACCGTCGAGTCAATTTTGACTCATAGTGACCCTATATGACAGAGTAGAACTGTCCCATAGGGTTTCCAAGGAGCAGCTGGTGGATTTGAACTGCCGACCCTTTTGGTTAGCAGTCGAGTTTTCAACCACTGTGCCACCAAGGCTCCACTCCTACTATATTAAAAAAAACAAAAAAACAAAAAAAAAACAAGCCCATTGCCATCGAGTCGATTCCAACTCATAGTGACCCTACAGGATCCAGAAAATTAACATTTCATCTGAACACAAATTTCATTATTATAAATCAAGCATATGTGGTGTAATTGCAAAGTAATAAACTGCTTTCCACAAACCAGTTAATTTTGTCTCTAATTTAAAACTGTCATTTGTTCCATATTTGTTACTTCAAATTCTTAACAGAACACTTTCAATCTTGTTTCAAATATTACATTTTTATTTTTTACCTTAGCCTTTCTAATTATTTCTCAGTCTGTAGGCAGGGAGAAAAGACAACTTAGAGCAAAGTAATGCAGCTGCTTCTACCTTACTTCTTTATTTGCAGGTCTTCTCAGTAACCCACCAAAACAATTCCCTAATTTTTAAAGCTTAGATTCTAATCATTCTGCCGACTTTTCAACTCTATTTTCCAATAACACCCAATTCCTAAACCATGAAACTCTTAAACTTTTTTTTCTTTTCCACAATTGCTTACCATGACATCCTCCACTTAGCAAAGGATCACATAAATTTGTCTTATAGTTTGGAATCATATACTCCAAGAATAAGATTTATTTTATTTATGCTTCCTCTCCCCCCCACCCCACCTCCCTCACCCAATCTTATCCTTGGATTTTCACTGATTAGTGCTTTCAAGCTTGCCTGCCTTGACTCATGTAGCTCCTCCTCCTACACTGGGTAAAAACTTCTGTCACCATTATAAAGATTACTATTACTCTTTTTCTGTGAAGAGCAGAACAAGAAGAAATCCACTTGATTCAGATACTCTCAAGATTCCTAAAAGACCAGAATTCATTTCTCATCTTTCTACAAGCATTTAGCTCCAGGGGAATCCAGAGAAAAGGTAAGGTACAACTATACTTCCAATAACTTGCTTGTATTTTGCCAGCCTAATCTTCTTTTAAATATATTTATTTTCACTAGCGGTGTTCAATCAAATTTATTTATAACCAAGAAGTTTCTTTAGTTTGATTTCAGAAAAAAAAAAGCAATTACTTTCATGTTTTTTCACAACTATATTTTTTAGTTAACTTCTAAGATAACTTCTGAAATAACTCACTACTTATTTTCTTTCCTGGGAATAACAGAGCCATTATATTCACATTTAAACACATTTCTCTTGTTGAATAGTGCAAGTTCATGTACTGTTACAAGAACAGTTTTACTTCATGTACTGTGTTAGAGTTGAATCATTTCCTTTGTATCAAAAACGATAGCTTAACACCTAAGAACAAGGATAAAAGAATCTCCCTTTAAATACTTAAACTACTCATTCTAAAATATTCACGAATGATTCTACCCCATCCAATGCTTTAAACTAAGAAATAACTCTAGCAACTTAAACAGATTATTAACGCTTCCATTTCTTTTTAGAAAAGGCTATCATAACTCTGATGCAATGTTATTATTACACAGGAGAAAATTATTGTGTAAACATGGTTTTGATTTCATTAACTTAGAATTTTTAGGTTTTATCTACTAGATTCTGATATTATGCTCTATTTTTTAAGTTTTCAAAGCCTTAGTATCCTCAATACTTAGTATCATTCATAAACTTACTAGTAATGATAAATAACAGAAACAAATGTCCCATATTAATAAGGTTCATTTCAAATGTCTAATAAGAGTTTATCATCATTTCAGAGTTTATCTTTAGAAATATCCCAAAATTAATATGTTGCCAGAGCCTTCCCCTAAAATGAGTGACTGTAGCCTCCAAAAGTCTGAGAAAATAAATTTCTGCTCTTTCAAAAATAAAAGACTTCAATAAGTACGTATCAGGTTTACTTTATGCAATACTTTTTTAGCTAAAAGTTTTTCTATCCTTGTCACATTTATAATGATAGTAAATTATTTTTTTCTTTGTATTTTCCAAATGAAAAAGTTTATCACTATATTACCTAAAAAAAAAAAGAAAAAAATATAGGCCTCTAAGTAAAGACATCCTAATTTGTACCAGCTACTTAGCTAAGAGAAGAACGTATCATGGTAAATGCCTAGATTATCTAACAATCTAGAATGTCAAACACTGCATCAGGATGTGAAAGTTAAGATTGCAGGTATATTATTTCTTTGTGTCTAATTTTCTCTTTCAAAACTGGTTTAAGTTGTCACTCTTTACTTGTATTTTACAAACAGAAATAATTAGGTAGAAATAAGTATTCTAATTTAGAAGTGTCTAAGGCAGCACTTGTCCAATACAACTTTCTGCAGTGAAGAAAATGCTTTATATATATCTGCACTGTCCAATTTAGTAGTCATTAGCTACACATGACTACTGAGCACCTGAAATGTGGCTACAATGACCAAGCAACTGAATTTTTAATATTATTTAATCTTAATTAATGTTAATTTATATAGTAGCATGTAGCTTAGTGGCTACTGTATTGGACAGTACATGTCTAAGGTACTGATATTAAATTTTTTCATTTACAAATACCTTTGATATGGAAAGAAGTGATTTCTTTAACCACAGCAACAAACATAGATCAGTAGAACAGAGCTTAGTAGGAATGACTGCTGTCCTAATATAACTTATCTCTATCATCATAAAAAATATAGAACAATAGGTCTTTCCTTAATCTACGCAATCTCAGTAAAACAACATTGATACAAACTGCCCTAAAAAGTCAATTTTATATATATATATATATATATATATATATATATATATATATGAATTACAGAAGTGAATGACTCATTTATATTCTTTACAAGCAAAGAAGTAAACATTGTGGTGTGATAAGGATACTATAGGAATTTTATAGTTAAATCTTCCTTCAAATTGGTCAGGAAAATATCTACGGAGAGAAAGAAACTTCAAGTGTTGAAAAGTGAGAATCAGAGACGATCCAGAAAAAGGAAATTCGAGGAATAATACGAAACCTGAGAAGATAATCCAAGGTAGAAATATATTTAATTAACAAATTACATTTTCCTGTGAAGAGAGTGGATTTATTTGAGCAATAAGAAAAGGAGAAAATAAAATAGTTGAGGATTTTAGAAACTAATTAACCTCTTCATTCTACTCTTATTTCTAGGTCTTTATATTACTCTTTCATATATATATTAGAAATCAAAAGGATTTTTAAACCTGGTTGTTTTGAAGTCCCTCAGAGCTGTAGAGATGTATTCAGATAAATGTTTTTCCATGAGTGCTACTCTGATCCAGGCTCTACCCTAAAAAGAAGAAGAATCAAATATGAAAAAAAAATTAAAAGTTAAAAAATTATGCCCCTTGTGCCATCAAGAAGCTAAACAATTTTAAATGTAAAAAACAACTCATTCAAAATATACATTTGATAAACACTAAAAAAAAAATTTTAGAAGATAAGAATAGGTAAATTTCAATTATATAGAGTATATGTTTTGTTCCTCTGATGGTGGAGGGTATAGTATGTCAGATTAAGTTTCTATCCTCTAAAGGAACAGAACCACTAACATTGGGTTACTTAAGCTAGAGACTTCTTTTGAATCAAATTATGTGCAGCCCAAAATAAAACAATAATTAAAATGAGTCCTCTAATAAAACATGAGAACAGAGCCCGTTCTAGTTAATAAAAATAATCACTCTAACACCACTTAAGAGAATTTCCCGTAGTATCCTTCCAGAAGGAGGTTTTACATAACAATGAATCCTAAATTTCATGATTTGTCATATATCCAAATCTTGAGTTACTGAATTTGGTACCCAAAGGCAATTCTAAAAACTGTTACCAAATATTTAAGGCAGAAATATAAAACAAGGCAAGTCAGCATATTCTAGCACAAAATCATAGAAACAGACAATTCTGATTAAATATGAATAATTTAATTTTAATGAAATGGGGTAACATTATTCAGTAGTTGGGGTTAATCAGCCAATTTTTTATAATTCAAAGCATTTTCCCTGGACTTTTTACTTAGAATGAAAGAATATAAGAGATCATATTTATAGCAATAATTCTAATTCAATTACAAGCAGCTCCCAGGTTACGAACAAGATCCGTCCTAACTGTGTCTTTAAGAATTTGTAGCTCAGTCACAACAAGTGCATATGGTTCTGATTTATCCTTACTTTAGTACAAGAGAAGACTTGGAAGCCTGGGTTGTGATGAAGAATTTGTTGCAAGTCAGGGTTTGTTCAATCATTTCAAAGTGAGGGCAAATTTATATAACATTACAGGGCAAGTATGAGCTGTCAGTAATAACCAGATGTTCATAACCTGGGGACTGTACTTTTATTTTCACACAATACTTTCACAAATCTCCCAAAAATCCATAAATACTGAATATATAGAAATCTGAAACAGTGTAATGGTATTTGAGAATAAAGATGATGCTTATATATATATATATATATATATGATGGCCAACTACAAGTAAAGAAATAAAGCATCCTTTAGAAAAGTTTACAGCTATACTTAATTCACCAAACTCCTGAATAGGAGGGGTCAATCTATGCAGTGGTAAAACTCGTCAGGCTAGAAACAGAAGTCCTGCTTGGGAAGCAAAAGAATTATGAGTGTAGGTGGCATGTTAATTTGCCTACCTACCTTAACTTTCCTTTTTAGCTTACCCTGTGCTCAGCCCATTGTTGCTGCTAAAGCGGTAAGCTTAGGAGAACTTACAATTGGCTGTGGCTGATTAGAACAGAAAAAAGAAGAGGCAAGCCACTGGCTGGCCAGCAACATCCCAAGATTCTTTCTTGAAATTTCATCTAAAAGACAGAGACTAGTCAGATGACAGTACCTGCTTGAATCCAAAATGGCACACGTCCACTACTACAGAAACGGAAAGCTGCTCTGTAGAAAAAATTATACACAGGAGACTGTGCTGTTGCTAGATAAGAACTGTGGGGAAAGTCCTGCTTCCTGATTTATTAGTTTCAATCTATGCAGAACTGACCTGCACTTAGTTTCCTGTGCTTGATGTCTGCAGAATTCTCTGTTATACTGTGATAATAAACTGTGCTAATTTTAACAGGTTTCTTTTCTTTCAACCAATAACATTTACTAAAACAGATTTATAAAGGCTACTGGGGCCAAGATGTAGGAAAGCTGAAAACTTATGCTAAGGAATTTAGATTTTATCAGTGGATAATGACAAACCACTTGAAGGCTTCTAAAAAAAAAAAAAAAGTAAAAGCAGTCAACATTTCTTAAGAATGTAATTAATATGTGTTAGGCCTGTTTAGGAGTCCTGGTGATACAACCGTTAAGTGCTCGACTGCTAACTGAAAGGTCAGCAGTTTGAACTCACTAGCGGCTCCAGGGGAGAAAAGAGCTAGGTATCTGCTCCCATAAAGATCATAGCCTAGGAAACCCTATGCGGCAGTTCTACCCTGTCCTGTAGGGTCGCTCTATGAGTCAGAATCGACTTGATAGCACACAACAACAGGCCCTATTTTTAAGAGCTTTACCTATATTAAGACATTTAATCTTCCTAAAAACTGTGTGACTAAGGTTACAGGACCATCCCCACTTTAGGAGAAAACAAAAAGTAAATGCAATTAGAAGAGAAAAAACTCATTTTCCCACCACCAAACTGACAACTTAGTTAATAACCATACACACTACGTTCTCTCCTGTTTCAGGGGATAAACTGTCATCATTTAACCGCGTGAAAGGGCAAAGATATTGGAATTAATATATATGTGACAAAAGACTTTAATCTTTAAAATAGTCATATTTTATCGATTCTTATAAATCGATCAGAAAAAAAAAAACTCCAATTAAAAAATGGGCCTGTAAGGGGAAAGTTTTAGGTTACAGATTCAATTTCTTTAGTATCTATTAGACTATCAGGATATTCTGTTTCTTTTTTGTATTAGTTTTGGTAAGTGATGTTTTTTTAAATAATTTGTTCATTTCATCTAAATTTTCAAATTTATGGGTGCAAAGTTATTCATAATATCCTTTAAGCATTTCTAATGTCTGCAGGTTCTATGGGGTTCATTCCTGATATTGGTAATTTATAACCTCGCTTTTTTTCTTCTTGAATAGTCTTATCAATTTTATTAATTTAAAAAAAATCAACATTTGGTTTTGTTGATTTTTTCTAGTGCTAATTTGTTTTCAATTTTTTTGAATTTTTGCTCTTATTTTCATTACTTCCTTCATTCCTCATTATATGTGTCAAAATTGAGAAGTACACTTTGGGTTTAATTTATTACTTTCTTTGTAGCTTCTTGGGATGAAAGCTTTGATTGCTGATTTTCAGTCTTTGTTTTTTTTAATACACAAAGTTGATTTAAGCCTACCAATTTTCCCCTAAGTACAAGTTTTTATGCATTTTCATTATCAATTTCAAGTATTTTTCAATTTCCATTGTGATTTCTCCTTTCATCCATGAGTTGTTTAGAAGTGTACTTCTCAATTTTGACTCATATAAGTATTTGCATGTTATCTTTTTGTTACTATTCTAGCTTAATTCCACTGTGGTTAGAGAATATACTTTATGTGACTTCAATCCTCTGAAATGCATTAAAATGAATTATGGCTCAGCAAATGGTCAATTTCTGTAAAAGTCCTCTGTGTGTTTGATAAATGTATATTCTTCAGTTTTCTCTTTTGATTTTTTTAAAAATATATTCCAGTTCTTTGGTAATATCCATCTTTATTTCTGTTTTCTTGAGCCTATCATCGTAATTATTTAAAAGTCCGTTATCTCTATCTCTTATGAATCTGTTTCCATTACCTTTTTAGTCCTCTTGATTTCTGTCATTTGATCTTGTTTCTTGGCATGGCTGGTGATTTTTTATTGAATGTTGAACATTGTGTATGAAAATCTGTAGCACCTCTGCTGATGGTACCTTCTTCCAGAGTGGATTTATTTTTCTTCTGGACGGTGGATAGAGTACTGGAGAATCACCATGCACTATTTAAGGGCAACACTTTTAGGCTGGTCTTTTTCTGACTTGCCCTTATTTCCATGGTGTAGACTTTCTGGCATCTCAGATGTTTACAGGACCTCTCCAACTTGCTGGGCCCTGAACTCTGACTTCTGTCTCTCCAGAACAAGACTGAGAAATCTTTGATTAAGTATTTTAGCCTCCTATCTGATGTTTTCTACTTGTTTTATGGGAATTTTGCTCTGTGCTTGAGGTGCCTAAGAGGTGGCAAACACCTCACAGGAAAATTATATCCACAACAACTTCAGGCTCATTAGTCTGCAGTTCTCTTCTCTCAATCAAGCGCTGGTTACACTGGTAGTTCCAAGTTCCACCTTTGTTTCTGCAGCCCAGGGAAACTAAAACAAGCATTCCCCACCCCCACCACTTTCTGCCTAGCCTCTGTACCTATGATATGAATAGGCAAATGCTCTCAGGTTAAAAGCAAAGGTGAATGCAGGGCTCGCTTCACATATCATTGTGCTTGCCAGGATTTTACCCACTCAAATTCTCATGCTTTGGTTATTCTCCTATACATTAAAATTGTTACTTTGTGTATTTTATCCAAATTTTATACTTGTCCTTGGCAGAAGGGTTGTTCTGATACAAGTTATTCTATTATTCTTGGAAGCAGAAACTGATTTCTCACCTCCAAGATCATATCTTTTTTAGACTCTAATTATATTCTCCTAACTCGACCCTCTTTTTCCACTCTTACCTTCAGTGAAATTCCCTATACAGCACCCAGTTGTTTTTCCTAAAACACAAATCAGATGACAAGTACCCTGCTGCTTTAAAAAAAAAAAAAAGAAGAAGAAAGAAGGGGAGAGAAAAAGAAAGAAATCCTTAAGTAGCTCCTCACTACACTGAGAATAAATCCAAACTCTTTATCACGACCTCATTTCTTTCGACCCTACACCTTGTTTACTCTTCTCAATATATGTACACATCTTTCCTTAGTTCAAGTCCCCACTCGAACATCATTTCCTCACAGAAGCCTCTTGAAGAGCTGCTAAACGCCCTATCTAAAAAGTTGCCCTCCACTACCATAACTATCATATTCTAGTCTCTTAACCTGCTGCATTTTTTTCATGACCCCTGAGATTATATTATGCAGTTAGTTATTTTCTTCTTGTATTACCAAATATGAAATTCGTAACATTTACTCTTTGCCATCGTTTTCACCACTGTATCCCCAGTATTTATAATTTCTGGCACATAGTAGGCACTCAATACATATTTGCTGAATAAATGGATGGAATTAAGGTAGATACTTTGATAGAGGTTATATATATCTACTAAGTATTGGAGCCACCAGTGATAAATCTAGAAAAGCAGTGATAAGCTAAAAATAGTATTTTAGGAATATTCATCTGAAGCTAGTATTTAAAATGGATAGTGTGCAAGACAAAAAGGCAAATGAGCAGAATGAGAATCTCTTTGGTTTCTCCCTGGGAAACTGTATGTTTATTTTTAAAGCTCCCTAAGTATTTCTGAGATTCTTCCAAGTTTTGGACCATCACAATAAAGAACTGAGGATAGGAAATTTCAAGTGGGAGGTTAAGAGAGGAGATAATGATCTGTGAGTCAATAACAGAAAATGATCACAATCGCATCTCAATTCTATTTCTTATTGCAAAGTTCTAGTATTTGATAATTCTGGTGTATCCGTGATTAAAACCACCCTCTTCCTCTGTTTCTTATGGAAGGAAATTAGGTCAGCCTGCTTCTGGGGCAGAGCAGTGACAAGGCCAACTTCTGAACAAGAGGAAAAGTAAGCAAGAAGATGGAGAACAAGAAAGATTGTCTCTAGAACAGACTGGGCATATATGTTATGAGAACATATTAAGGACTTCGTTGACAGTGTGGTATGGTATAGGTAACTCAATAAAAATATACTGGACAGAAAGATGAATGTATATATGGATGGTTGATGTGACTAGCATATTCAGAAATTGGCCTATAATGTTAAATATAATAATAGAAAGAATGCATTTCTTTCTTGGTAAGCAACCACATACTAGAAAGCCTTATCTAGCCAAAAACTACGCAAAAGAACTGCTCTTAAAAACAAAGAAACAGTAATATACACAGAGAGACAAAGAGAAAGAGAGAGAGAGAGAGAGAGAGAGAGAGAGAGATGCAGGGAGGTAGGAAGAACACTGTAGGGCTTATTTATACTTTGGGTCCAAGAAAATAAAAAGGGAAAAATAAACATTAAAAAGGACTTCTTGAGCTTAAAACCAGTTAGAATACTAAAAAACTCAATGGAAATATCTGCAAGGTCAGTAACAGTAGTAACTAAGGACCCAGTTAGGGGTAGTTTCTGTCAGAGATCATATGCTAATAAGTAACTAGCCCAGGAGCAGTTGGGGAAGATGGGTGAGTACACAGGAGACTGAAATAAGTTGGTACCTGTTGAGATGAAGTCATTTTTCTAAGAGTACTGATTCTAGTTTAAAACCTATGTAAGTTGATGTGTAGAAATCTGGGTGCCCCAGAGCCCTACACATTGTAGAAAGAATAGCTGCAAATATACCTGAGATGGAAAAATTGTAGACATGACCTTCATTTCAAATATTCTTTTTCACTGTTAAGCTATGTTTAGGGTTTGGAAAATAGGCTCAACTAGTCATAGGCTAAGCAAAGAAAGGAATGACCTGCAGTTCATGGTCTTACCCTAGAAAGACTACGTGTCAGATCTCCCACGATGGCAAGTTTCTAAACAACAAATTTAAGGGGTTTAGTGGTACTAGGACACAGACAATCCTGATTAAATCAACTCAACTAAATTTAAAGAATGCTTCTATACTGAATTAATCATTGCTACATAGTACATATATGTCTTCCGTTGTTTCAGATGTCATCTGCATGGCCCTTAAAGTGTAATCAGAGAATCTAGCCCCTTACATAGATTTCAAAAATGAAAATGTTTCAACCCCAGTGAACTAAATTATACATTATTTACTAGGTATTTTGGTGCATCTGTTCTGATACATGACACATGTAAGGGCTAGATGAAAGTGCTAATAGAAGAAAGTGCTAATAGTCACTCAAGACTCAGCCCTATGGCTCAATAAACTTGCCATCTGAGTTATCTGTGTTTAATCCTTCAAACCTGACACTTGGCATGTGTGGTTACTGAGCAGATTAAGTACCTTCCTCTTCCCACTGCAATAAATACAGAGTTAATCCTCTCCTGAAGATGTTTCTGAGCATAACCAGGGAAATCATAGATATCTCTTTCCCCACGGAATGGAATTTGTTTGAGGCCTGAACAAAATAAAGACATAAATGCAGGACTTGGAACATGATTGTTCTGTGGTGTTTTGATACTCAACCCCAGTTCTTTACAGAATAAACATTAACGCTCTCTGCTGGGCTTCTTGCTGCGTAGGGGCTGGTCTCAGGAGGCTCATTAAGAGAAGTGGTCAGCTAGGGTTTGGGTTTCTTAGGTCTACTCAGATCCAAATGCTACATTTCTAATGTTTCTTCTCAATTACCTTTTTTATTTTAGGGATATGCTAGTTCTATAAATACATTCTCTCCTCTGCTGAAGGGGTTTATACTACTAACTTGTCATGTTAATCCTTCCTGCTTTTAATCTGAAAATAAAAAAATAAAATTTATGTACTACCTGGGGTACTTCTTATTTTTTTAATGTTAATCTTTTTTTTTTTTAACTGTGCTTTAGGGCAAAGTTTACAGAGGAAATTACTTTCTCATTGTTCAATTAATACACAAATTGTTTTGTGATATTGGTTACCAACCCCAGGATGTATCAACACTCTCCTCTCTCGACCCCATTTCTATTTGTCCAGTTTTCCTGTCCCTTCTTTCCTTCTCCTCTTTGCTTTTAGGCTGGTGTGCCCATTTAGTCTCCTATACATAGTTGAACTATGTGTGTTATTATTTGTTTTACAGGCCTGTCTAACCTCTGGCTGAAGGGTGAACTTCAGGAGTGAATTCAGTACTGAGTTAAAACGGGGTACTTTTTATTTTTATAGACTTGATTTATTCAAACTATAGCTGGTCTTTTAATCTTAACCTTAAAAAAGAAAAAAAAAGTTTCTATCCCCTTAAGTTTTCTTTAAAGCAACAATAGTCTACATTAATTAGTAAAGAATGTCTGCCTTGAGCACTGTACTCTTTTAAAGAACTATCTATACGGGATCATAGGAGCCCTGGTGGCGCAGTAGTTAAGCGCTCAACTGCTAACTGAAAGATCAGTGGTTCGAATCTATCAGCCAATCTGAGGGTAAAAGATAAGGTAGTCTTACATAAAGATTACAGGCTTGGAAACCCTATGGGTCATTTCTACTCTGTCATACAGGGTCACTATGAGTCGGAGTCGACTCAATGGCAACAGGTATAATGGGATCAAATTGACAATAGCAACTTTAAAGATTAGATATGAAACTTAAGGGGCAATTAGTTTATGTTAAAGGGTATGAACACTTCAGAAAAGGAAGGTAAGAATGGCTGCACAACTCTAAGAATGTAATCAGTCACTGAATTGTACACATAAAAATTGTTAAATTGGTGTATTTTTTGCTGTGTATATTTTCAACAAAAATTAAAAGAAAAAACTCAATAAGTAGTAATTTCTTAAAGGTTAGTTGGATCTACAGCCATATCAAGGGACTTTTCACACTCTGTTATATTAAATCCATTGGTCTATCCTGAACTTTGAATGGATTTTTTACCTGTGCATGATTTTGTAATTTTATGCATTGGTCATTGGAAAAAATCTTTCCATTGAATTATGCAGGTCTACCAAATGTTGACACATTTCATTAAAAAACAACAAAAAAATACATTTGTTAATATCAACATCATTGTTATCACAAAAACCGTTAGTAATTGGGAAGCTTAACAAACTTACCGTGATGGATATAAATTTTCTAAAATTCTATTTTCAACTTGAAAGCTTTAATTTTACTACTGGCAACAAATACTATCAGCTGTTTTCCATGAAATAACAGGTTCGCTTATTTTTTTTTTTTTTTGAGACAATGTCTGCCAAATGCCTAAGTCAAAAAAACTATCGTTTGCAGATTGCTCTTTCAAGTAAAAATAGTGCTACATAAAAAAAGTGCTAGTTCAACTCACAACCCTAACAACTGCATGAGTACTTTTCCTCCAGACAACCATCATACTTCCGTATGTAGCAGAAGCACTTTATGTACATATATACTTCTCATTCTGTCATTCAGAATATTAAGAAGACAAGTACTCAAGGAAGGGTTGAGATTTAATAAAATTAATAATGTTTACTGCACTATCACAGACATTCTTAAGTGAAAACAGCTTTTTCTTTTTCTTAAATACTGTGTGTGGTGGGAAACAACTCAGTGATTACTAGTATAGTTTGATGCCACTGCCTTTACTCATGCCAAGATACCAGCAATTTTATCCATGATTTCTTCTGCATTAGCACTACAAATGTCAACACAGTGAAAAAGGCAGATAATGTTTTGGTATTATCATGAAAACAGTTTTGATATCATTGATCACCTAAATAAAGGAGATGCCAGAGTTCTGCAGAATGCTGTCTGAGAACCACTGGCTTATGTAATTCAAGAAATGTAGACTCTTCAGAGAACTGGAATATATTATTGTGCTTCTTAAAAAGGAAATTCATAGTGACTAGCTTCATAGCTTCCTGGTATTCATAAGGCAACAGTGAAAATTCAAGAGTATTGTTAAATAACTACATGCAATGAGGGTCAGGTGAGGTGCTTAAGCCCAACAATGAAAATAAAACAGCAATACTTTATATTGCAAAGAGCTCAAATATTTTCTATCTGTGTCAAAACTGCTTAGGATTAGATTGTACACATTGCATATTCTTATCAATTTCTTACCTTGGCTCTAGAGGAATTGACATTTTCCATATTTTCAATGCTGCAGATACAATTCTGTGAGACTTTCCGGCAAGCCACTCTGATATAGTCCCAGAAGCTACGAGGACTTTCGTAACCAAACCAGGTTACTTGACCTTCAGGAGACAAATTGTAATACAAAATAAAAGCAAAAGAAAAAAGAAACTAGAATATTCAAAATTCAAGAACAATAAAATTCTGAAAAATAAAGGCAACAAAGTGTGCTCTGATAGAAAGGACACTGATGGAAGCGTCAAAAGGCCTTAAATTTAGTCCTGTTCTGACTTTAGTTGTTTTACTTTAAGCAATTTACTTAACAGAGCTGTATCATAGTTTTCTCAACAATAAAATCAAGCTAAATGAAATAAAAAGGGGCTAGACTCTAAAAAAAAAATCTTGCACTTTAATATCCTATTATTCTAATATAGCTTTTCAGACAGCACACAGAAACTTTCCTTCTGGTTCTAGTTAACATTAATTTAAATGTCACTAGTTGCACTCTAAACCTGTTTCTCCACTTAGCAAAAGAGAAAAAAATAACAACACAACCCTAGTCTTCCTTTTCATAGAGATACTTCAAAGAAATGAAGTCTTGTATGGTCTAACCTATAAGTAAATATAAGCAATTAGCATCCCACTTTACTGATTATTCATAATCTTCTATCTAACCATTCTCATCTATCAGGCAAAAAGCTCTCTTCTGTCATTCATCTGTTCTCTTCCAGTCACCAACCAATGAAAAATCCTTCAGGCATTTATAATTCTAATCTTTCATATTTGGTAACTATGTGTCTGTTCATGACCAAATGTGCTACTGTTTATACCTGTTTCATTATTAATATTTCTAGGCAGGACTCTAAGTATTAGGTACCTGAGAACCATTTTGTACTCTTAATATTTTTTAACGGGATATGAGAACCACCTTAATATTTTCTTCAGTTTTCTAGAATGATTAGTCTTACTTGGAGAAGTTGTTTAATCTTAATGTAGAAAGACTGACATCTTATATTTGTAAATCTGGACTTTTAAATTTTGAGTTATTTATTTATCTCAAATCTTCCCCAGAAGTAACATCTCTCCAACAACATCAAAAAGTGTTCTACAAAATTCTAACTCACGAAAAAAGAACAGACTTACTAGCCTGACAGACACTGGAGAAACCCCAAGAGTATGGCCCCTGGACATCCTTTAAGCTCAGTAATGAAGTCACTCCCAAGGTTCACCGTTCAGCCAAAGATTAGACAGCCCCATAAAACAAAACGAGACTAACGGGGCACAACAGTCCAGGGACAAGGGCTATAAGGCAGAAGGGGACAGGAAAGCTGGTAATAGGGAACCCAAGGTTGAGAAGGGACAGTGTTGACATGTTGTGGGGTTGTTAACCATTGTCATAAAACAATATGTGTACTGTTTAATGAGAAACTATTTGTTCTGTAAACCTTCATCTAAAGTACAATAAAAAAATAAAAAAGTGTTCTTGTCAGTAATCACCATTTGAGAAATGTCTGACAGGATATTTAACTGGTTCCCAACCATGGCAGTCCATTAGAATAACCGAGCTGGTTTTTTAAAAATACTCATGCTTAGGTTCTAGCACAAGACTAAATAAATTAGAATCTCTACGCAAGGGTCCAGGCACTGGTATTTTTAAAATGGTTCCCCCCAGTGTTTCTAATGATTTACTTATGGTTAATCAACCAGTATATCATGGCAGCTCCTATTCACCATTCAGGGTAGTTTGAAGGCCATCTCTTCTGTTACGCCATTCCTGAACTCTGCAGTAAATTAGTCCCTTCCTATGGGCTGCCACGAGTTGTGGTGTTGGCGAAGAATACTGACTATACCATGGACTGCCAAAAGAACAAACAAATCTGTCTTGGAAGACGTACAGGCAGAATGCTTCTTAGAAGCAAGGATAGCAAGACTTCGTCTCACATACTTTGGATATGTTACTAGGAGGGAACACTCCCTGGAGAAGGACATCAGGCTTGGTAAAGCACAGGGTCAGTGAAAAAGAGGAAGACCCTCAACGAGATGGAATGACACAGTGGCTGCAACAATGGGCTCAAGCATAACAACCATTGTGAGGATGGCACAGGACCAGGCAGTGTTTCTTTATGTTGTACATAGGGTCATTAGGAGTCAGAACCGACTCAACAGCACCTTACAAGGACAACAACATGGGCTGTCATAGTATTCTGCGTTTACTCATCCCTATGAAGGCACTTACCACTATTATTATAATTATCTGTTTGACTTTCCCACATACTAGGTAGTAAGACCACTGAGGCCCAAATTGTATCTTACTTGTCTTTAAATTAATCCCCAGCACTTGACACGGTGCCTGACTCATAGCAGGCATTCCATAATTATTTGTTGAACAAATTAATTGGTAAATTAACACAAAGCAGATCCTTTTAATTGCAATTCACATACAAACTTGAACATTTCCTGTAAATCCAATTAGTATCATTTTATAGTAACAACTGCAATGACAATCTGGTATTAAGATGTCTGCATTCTAGGTTACAAATATCCTAAACAAATATATTAACCTTTGTCTATACGTAAATAAAAGGAGCCCTGGTGGCACAGTGGTTAAGCGCTCAGCTGCTAACCGAAAAGTCAGTAGTTTGAACACACCAGCAGCTCCACTGGAGAAAGATGTGGTAGTCTGCTTCCATAAAGATTAAAGCCTTGGAAACCCTATGGAGCAGTTCCACTCTGTCTTAATAGGATCACTATGAGTTGGAATCCACTCGATAGCACACAACAACAACATATGTAAATAAAAACCCAAGGGCATCTATAAACCCTTATTTTAATATCTATATAATTCAATGTCCCTTAAAAAAAATCAAACCTAGTAACCTACAAATAGAAATTTACAGGAATATTAATAGTCTCTCTTTTTCCTCTCAATCTCTTCCCATCACTTTCCTTTGCCTCTCTCTCTTCCTGGAGTTAAATGTTCCTGGCACAGTACCTCAATATAGTTTCTCTTTCAGTCATTTTTTATGTCATCAATTTGTTAGCCATTTGGAGAGGAAACAGGATGTCTGGTGGTTAAGAGCACAGGCTTTTGGGAAGGGGGTCCTGAACTGAAATCCTAGATAGATCACTTTCTAGCTATGTGATCTTGGGCAAATGACTTAACTTCGCTCTGTAAGACTAAGCTGCTGCTTCTATAAATTGGGAATAATATAGTAGTTACCCGATAGCATGCACTGTTACCAGGATCAGATGAAATAATGCATGTGCAGCAATTATCATAGTCTAGTACATATTAAGTACTCAGTAAATATTAACAATTATTACTACTACTACTGTTATTACTGTTTCATACAAATGGGTAAGGAGCCCAAACTCCTCTTGCACCACATAACAAATTATGAATGAGATACAAATTAAAGTTTTTCCCATTACTTACTTAGACCCTAGAGATTTGAAATTAACTCCAAAATCCAGCATTAGCCCACACCAACCATTCTAAACTCACCTCCACAAAGTATGTTTAATGTCAATTAATTTTCCTTGCTTTCTACTATTTGGGATCATTCCACAATTTCAAAATGATACAACAGCTGCAAGACTTTCCTCAATCAGTAACACTTGTGTCTGGAAGTACTAAACACTGGCAGGGATCTTAAAGGAAAAGAGCATCACAAGGTTTCTCCAGTGACTTTAAATTTCTCTAAAGAAGGAGTACAGGAAAGAAAAGTCAGAAAAATGGGCAAGGTAAAACGCAACATTGTATTATCCAATTACAACCACCTATATGGGAACTTGATGAGTAGTCAAGGAAAAAGGTGAGGCATAGACTACTCATGACCAGTAATTTCCTTTGTAAGGAAATACACAAGGGTCCAGCACTTTTGCATGGGGCATAATTCATGTTTTTGTACGACAGAATTTTAAAACTTCTCATAAGTTTTACATGGTTGAGGAAAATAATTTCTTAGAAGTTTTAAAGTACTGCTACAGAAAAGCAAGAGTATAACAAAGATGTGTTTTGGAGAAGAAAAAACAAAGATATAGAAAAACTATAAACCTAGACTTGAGTCAAACAGAGAATCAGTGGGCCCAAAATTCTTGGGTCTCCTACTATCGAAAGGTTGTGCTATCTACAAGATCCCCAAATTACAAACTGAGAAACTAAGCAAATTAACAAAATGGCGTATCATCATGACTTGTAGGACTTTAAATAAGCCAGCAGTATCTTCCCGATACTTTTATCTACTCAGCAAACTGGATGTGAGGATGACCTGTCTTGGTTCTGCCTTCTTCCCTCTTGCATGTTCATCATTTCTAAAGTGAAGTGCTTAATTCAAGAAACTGAGTTTTCCATGTTCAGAAGATTCTACTTTGATTAAGACAAAGCACATTTCTTTGCTATGACTTCTAAACATGCTTTCACATAAGTTATCCATATATACTAGAATTTTATTTAAATATCTAAATAATTTCTGCATCTACAGAAAAAGTTAAATTTAAAATAGTTCATAGAAAGATTCAGTTTTGCTTACACATAAATTAACTATTAGCAAAAGATATACGTGGGCTATCAGGCTGTAACCAGTACTCAACAGAAAGATTAAAAAAAAAAAAAGGTACAAGCTGATTATACAATACCTTTAAAAATCACTCCTGAGGTAGCAGTTACTCGCAAGACATTTTCATTTCCTTTAAAAATAACCACTAAAGCAAATCACAAAGCAAGAAACTGACTAGTCTATAGCTGGAAGAAATTTTATTCCAGATAAGAGATAATGCTGTCACTAACAGAATTCCCTTTTCAAATCTCTTGATGAGTGGTAGGTGTGGAGTATGCTTTCGATTGTGAGTGTTGTTCAAAGTTAATCAATCAATGACAAAGTTAAACAAGCTTTTCAAATCTTACTCCCACCAATCCACCTCTAATTCATTTTAAGCACAGAATTATATGGTGAATTATTTGCTAGACTAAAAGAGGATGGGCTACTGATGAGCTATGTGATGTCTTTCCCACTAAACTGCCTCATTTGTAGTACTTAAAAATGACCTATGATCTCTAAGGTCCACAGACATTCTAAAATTATTCTTCTATACTCTTTAAGTTATACAGCTATTCATATCT